ATCCACTCACCTTAGCCTCCCAAAGGCACGGGATTACAGGCTGAGCCACCGAGCCCGGCTGATTTTTGACTTTTAACAATGGACAAAGTACCAGTTTGGCTTAAAGACAAAGGAATCAGGTACTATGTTTGGAATTAAGCCACATTTCCCTGGGAGGAGATAGGGAAGGTTCTCCAGCATCCTGAAATCACACAATATATTCCACCTACTCTTAAGTTGGTTATGACTGGAACCATCAAGGACCAGAATAATTGTCATTTTTCCTGGGCCCTTGCCAGCTTCCAACAAGACAATGCTTTTCTAGGGAGGTAAGAATGGCCAACGGCCAAGTGCTATTAGCATGACTGGCCAACACAGGGGCTCAAGACCACCATTCAGCTATTGCTCAGGAAGACATTGCCCCCTTGTGGTTCCTCATGTAACTTAGGGAAGAGCAGGCCGAGCAAAGGACGGCCAATGAACACAATCAGTACATCAAAAATAGACAATTTCTGTACCAATTGTCGCCATGCCTCTTCCGAACTTCTTCAGCGGTTTCAGTAGACTCTTGGTTTATTGTCATTCTGGATACACTTTTGCTCTCACAGAGAGACGTGGCATTATGGCAGCAAATAAATAAAAACTTTATTTCCCTTACAGAAGTTCTTCTCTTGTTGAAACTCTTCAGATCCCCATGAAGAGCCCAATACGGAATCCAAGCATCACTGCTGTTTTTCTCACAATGCCCTTCATGCAAATCCTTGCTATCATTTGGAAGAGGATTTGCGATTACGTGGCTGTGGAGTTGTTTTGAGTACCTCGCCCCCATACCACTTTAAATTCCCTAAAGGCAAGGGCCTTATCGGAAAGTCCTGCAGCCACCCCCACTCCATCCCTGGCAGCACTTAAACCTGTATAGGGTAAAGAATGCGGGGGGCGGGGGGAGATGAACAGTTAAGCAAGTGAGTTCTGTAGTTAGAAACTGTGATTGGTGCTTTGCAGGACAGGAACAGCAGAAGCTGGCAGACACAATTCCTGGGAGTGAGAAGTGGGACAGGCCCCACCAGTACATGAAGTTTTAAACTGAGAAATTTGGAGCAGTTTAAAAGCTTAAGTGATCCAGCACGGGAAAGGCTCTCTAGGGCCCAGGAAAAATGGAAATTTCCTTAATAATAATGTTAGCTTCTACGTATTGGAAACCAAAGGAAGTCAGAATGGGTGCTAGGTGCCACGACAGCTCTGTCAACCTAAAGCCCTGGGAGATTAATATAACTACTCCCATTTCACAGATGAGGAACCAAGCTAGCAGTCTTTCCAAGAGTGTTGCAAAGGCCCAGACCCCCTTTCTTGTTCAGATGCACTTTGACTCTCTGAAGATCGTCTGTGTGAATGAAACTCCAGGTCTGCTGGCAGTGGGGACTTACTTTGCCAACACATATTTATTGAGCGCCTCCTATATACCAGGTAGTCCCTATAGATGGCCGTGGGATTAAAATGAAAAACTGGGCACGGTCTTGTTTCCCAGGAAGAAGCTCCCCGAGAACGAGGGGGACGGCAGGGTGAACAGAACAGTCTGGGGAGGGCCGGGACAGGAGTCAAGGGCCCCAGGAAGCCCAGAGAGCAACAGCCGGGGACCAGCGTTTGAGCTGGATTTGAAGCCATGTCCTGAAAAAGCTGGCCGGGAGTGGGCTGTCCCCGGTGTCACTCGAGTTCTCATCCTGTCATTTCAAGCTGCCGACTAGGAGGCCAGGAACCAGGTCCCAAGCGTCACTGAGAGAGGGGCAGGCTTCGAGACAGGGGTGCAAGTCCCTTGTGAAAAGCAAGCAAACAAAAGTAGCACTTCCCAGCTCCGGGCCCTCGCACCGGCGGGGCCCGG